CCTAGTAGGGGGACGCCCTACACTTCGCTTGCCGGTACGAGGCTGCTATTCGAGAACCTTTTTTCTCCATCGGTTGTCGATTCTTCAGGCTATGTGGCCGGGGCCCTTTGCCACTTCAGTTTACTAATCCGTTGGTTTGTTAGTTTAATCGTGGCTATTTTAATAAGTACAGTTGTCTTCAACAATGGTTAATAATTGTTCCATGAGTGGCTGCGGTGTTATAAAAGTATTAAGCCTGATAATTGCACATATCACAGGACTCAGGACGTCTTCACTGGTATGACCCGTTTATTTTAGGTTAAAATTTCATTGCTTTAAATATAGAAAAATTTCAATAGCTTCTTTAATTTTTATATTTTGCAAAGAAAAAAGTAATTCTAGTCGATTTTGCATTGTAAAAACATAATTTTATTTTGATTTTTACTTTTTATACTATACTTTAATTATATACTATATATACTTTAATTATATATATTCTATATTTTGCTTGTTTTTGTGTTTGGTTTGCCACGATTTAGACCAAGATATTTTAAGTGGTCATAGATACTTAATAATTAAAATACATTACAGAAATTTACTTTTATATTTGGCTTTAATATGAATGTAAGTAACGAAACTTGTTAAAACCAGTTAAGATTGTTCTATTTAAAGGTCAAAAAAAATTGTAATTAATTTGTTAAAAAAATATTTTGAAATGTTATACTAACTAAATTAAAACGGAGATACAGAGTGCATAGTGTTTATATTTTACTTACATTACGTTAAAAAGCTTGGCGTGCTTAGCTGATCGCGCCAGAACTTCATACTTGCACACCGCTTGCAACTTTACAAAGCACAAGTTCAACCTCACATGCAATATTGTTCTCATCTCTGGGCCGAGGCGTCCCAGTACCAGCTCCTTTCACTTTCGTCGATGACTGATTTTTTTCCGACTGGCTCGATTCACTGGCACTGCGAGGAGATGTAGCATCCCTTTGCATTTTCTATCTCATTAGAGAGAGAGCTCACTTCTTTTTAAAAGGCTAGCAACGCCCCTGCAATTCCCTTTGTGTTGCAATAAGTAATTTTAGAATAATGCACTACTGTCGTCCCGTGGGTGTCGTAAAAGGTGACAAAGGGAAGTTGAAAAAGGTGATGGGGAGCAGCATCTTCTTAAGGGGAAATAGAACCTCAAATGGCTTAGCAAGATCCTCCGTTATGCCGAAAGTATTGCAGCTTTAATTTTGAAATAAATATATGGTAAAGTTGAGGATTAATGTTAAGGTTTATGTTAGACGAAAACACGATTCCGTAAAATTTTCTCGATAGAAAAAAAAATCCAAAGTTACCTACAAACTGAACAATAAACCGCTGTTATTCATAAAATACTTTAAATAAGATCATGAAACTTTGCATACTAATCGAACTAACCATAAAGCAGTGGTTATGTTATTTACTTTTTTTAAAATATCATTATTTTCACTGTAAAAAGAAATTACCTAAACTATCGGCGCGTAAGCTTGGTTCCTGTCGCTCCGTTAGTATTGCTCCGGCTTTTGAAGGGAGAAGTTGTGTCGCTTACGATCAGAAAACACATTACGCAACAGGAAAACGTAAAATTAAAATGGGAAATAACCGTTATAAAAATAAGAAGCGACTGGGTTGGCGTTAAGAAACAGGCATATATATGATAAACATAATGAAATTAGTATCTAACGACCTATCTACTTAGAGTATTAGTGATTACAAACATGTCGGTACATAGCATACGACGCGTGAGGAAGTGGGGGCGAAATTAGAATTTGAGCTGACTTACTCTCACCTCTTAATAACAACTTAAGACTATGGTTACCAAGAATGAAAACTGTGGCAAATTATGGGGAGACCTATGTTCAGTTGTAGGCTTTTATAGGCTGTAATGTATCCTTTAGCACTTCCAGTAGCAGTGTTGTGGTCGCACTGCAGTCATTTAGCGATAGTCTATATAAAATATACATCAATAGCTTACGCATACAATAACAAATCCAAAATTGTCACGTATTTTCGGGCTGTCAGGTCATCTACACGCTAATATATATTCTAAGTCTATGTTAAGTTCATACTGCGTAGATGGGCCCAAAAATTAATAACTTTAATCTGAAGGTAATCGTAGTTAACTATGACATCGGGACGTCAAACACATCAGTCCCACACCCGCCCGTGACTTTGTGTGCTGTAAACTACATACTCGAAACGTCGGGAATGTATATTATAATATGTTAAAATATACGCGATAACTTTTTTTCCAATTCGCATATAGGCCTATAGTCGTATTTTTAATTAGACGAAGCCAACTGACAGTAGCTAATGTCACTTTGTAAAATAATGTTGCCATATTTAAAGTAATAGTGATGCGTTCAGTTCTCGTTCAATCAGATGAATGAACAATGAGTGTGAATAGTTAATCATTTCAAACTATAAAAGAATATTATTTCTATTTTACAATAAAATTGTATAAAAGTGCTCTGATATAAGTTACTAGTAGTATGTAACTACAATCAGTTTTTTGAGGTTTTATTACAAAGCGCGGCGCGGCGACTAGTGCCAACACCGATCAACGCCGCGCGCGTCGGTCGCCATTTTGTTTGTTATTCGGCTTCTAACCTCTGGTCTGATAGCACGAATGTTTTTTCTGCGCTCACGCTGTTTAGTTATTGTTTTTGTTAAGTTTTTCGTTAGGTTGTGTTTGTGGTAATTGTTGTGTTTATTTGTTGCTATATTGTTTCGTACAAACGATATGGATCCTCAACCAAGCACGTCAAGCCAAAGCTTGTCTCCAAGAAAGAAGAGACCACGGATTGCTTTAAGCGTTACCGAAAAACTTATGATACAAAACGTCTACAAACACGTATTTGAGGAAAAAGCTGCTTCACTATTACCTATTGAGGCCCCCGAAAAAAAAGAATGTGTTTCGAAAACAGCTGACATTTTGGGAATTGGTGTGACCTCAGTTTATAGTGCGTTAAAAGAATGCAAAGAAAATGAACAATTTAAGTCTCCCGAGAAACGTGGACCGAAACACAGTTTCAAAGATAAATTAGACGATTTTACTTTTGCCGCTATAAGGCGAAAAGTACATAATTTTTTTTATGCAAATGAGTCACCCACCATTATAAAGGTAACTTAAACTTTATTCCTTCTACTGCATTATATTCTGTGTCCACCATAATGTTCTTTGTAAAACCAAAGTATTAGATTGCGTAGACTTCCTTACTCAAAACATATTTTATTACTTTACAGATTCTTAAGGTTGTCAATGAAGACCCAGACTTACCCAATTTTTCTTGGAGTACATTAAGAAATGTTATGAAACATTTAAATTTCAAATATGTCACAAAATCAAGACACAGCATTTTAATTGACAGACAGGACATTATTCTATGGCGCCAGCGATACCTTCGAAAAATTAAAGAGTATCGAAGGGAAGGAAGGTATATTTATTACCAAGATGAAACCTGGATCAACGAAGGTAATTACAATTTTCTGTTTTCTTTACATTAAATTGTACTTTCAAATAATTAATTGATATTTTTCACTATCTTGAAGGTCATGCACCGAAGAAGGCATGGATTGACCAGACAGTGTTATCGTCCCGCCAGGCCTTCCTAGATGGCTTGACCACTGGCTTAAAACAGCCTTCAGGAAAGGGCAAACGATTAATTATCGGCCATATAGGCGGGGAAGAAGGATTCGTAGAAGACAGCTTATTAATATTTGAAGCCAAAAAAAAAAGAAGATTATCATCAAGAGATGAATGCCGATTCCTTTGAGAAGTGGTTTTGGGGTGTCTTGCCAAAACTAAAACCAAATTCCGTAGTAGTGATGGATAATGCCCCCTACCACTCCAGGAAACTAGAATCGCTGCCTAAAATGTCTTGGACTAAACCTAGAATACTAGAGTGGCTAACGAGCAAAAATATTTCATTCGAAGCAACAATGGTTAAAGCTACTCTTATAGACATTGTACGGCAGCACAAGCAAGAACATTGCGATAAGTATGTTGTGGACGAGATGGCAGCGCAGCATGGGATAATTGTTTTACGTCTGCCCCCATACCAATGTGAGCTCAATCCCATTGAGTCGGTATGGGCGCAGGCTAAAGGATATGTTGCAAGAAATAACAAAACCTTCAAAATGACAGAAGTAAAAAAACTTTTTGAAGAAGGACTTCAACATATCACACCTGAAAAATGGAATAGCTGCGTGTCTCATATAATTTAAAAAAGAAGACAAAATGTATGGTCTCGACCACATGATTGACAATGTTACTGACAGATTTTTAATTAATGTCACCGAAAGCGATAGTGATGATTTTTTATCTGATAATGAATAAAAACAAATTATGTAATAAGCGATTTTTTTTATTCTGATTACCTACCTATAATTGTTATATTTTATACATCTATAGTTTGAACTACATGATGTATTGAAAATAGGACAGTCTTACAAGTTTCCTCGCAATATTTTCCTTAATGTTTAAAACACTCGGTATTCAGTATAGGTAGATATTATAGGAACATAGTCGTCGAAAACTCGTTGGTATGTAAAAAGCACGACTAAAGTTCAGCACACTAACTATTCACTAGACAATCGAGGCAATTTCATTAATTCAGGAGTTTTTCAATCATTCACTTTGTCACAACACTATTTTTATTTCATCAAAAACTGACAACACAGTAAACGTCAGTTGACTTCGTCTAATTAAAAATACGACTTTACGTAAAGAAATAATAAAAAAACATGATTTTCGCACTAGGACTTTCTTCTGTATCGTTGAAGCAGTTTACATAAATAAATTGCACAAGGACAAGCATCCCGTGGCTATTAAGCTCCGCAAGTCATTGCTAATCTACTGCGCCACGGAGCCGTCAAAGAGTCAAATCTTTTTACGCTATAAGTGTTATTTACAAAGAGTGCTGTCACTTTTTGTCAATAACACTTACTGCGTAAACACGTTGTTACATTGCGGCGGTAATGCGAAGCAGGTGGACAAGAAGGGGCGCAACTTCCTGCACGTGGCGATCCAGGCGTGCGACGTGGAGAGTGTGATGTTCCTGTTGTCGGTGGAGGTGGACGTGAACTCGCGCGTACAGGACGCCACGCTGGCGCCGCCGCTGCACCTGGCCGCGGCGGCCGGCAGCGAGCTGCTACTGCGCTCTCTACTGTTGGCCGGCGCTCGCCCCAACGACCGTGACGCGCACAAGTATGCACGCCCTCACATACGCACACACCTGCTGCTGATCGGTGCACACCGCAACGACCGCGATGCGCACAAATACGCACGCACACACACGCGCACACTCCTGCTGCTTGCCGTCGCGCCCCAACGACCGCGACACGTACAAGTACACACGCACACACTCATGACTTGCACAAATATGCACACACACACACACACCTGATGCTGGTCGTTTCTTAGTTACTATAGTCAACCAAATCTAAGAAATACATTTTGACAGCTGTCAGACTTATTGCACCAAGCATGCCAACCAAAAACATGGGAACATAAAATATTCGATTCTTAAAAAAATCGATATCGATTATTTAGAGTTGGTAATCATTTACAATTTGGTTTGAATAATACCAGAATAAATTAAAAACGGATGATTTAAAACACAAGATTTATCACTTTCTTCGTATTTGTTGTTACTGCTTATTTCTAGAGACACAGTTATAAAAATTTAAGATTGAAACTAGATTCAAAATAAATTTATTCAATCACTTTCAGTACAACTAGTAGGGATATCGTTGTTTATATTAATTATTATTATTTAATTTTCAATAATGCAGTCAAAATTAATGTCTCTTTCAAAGTTATCCATAATCAATTTTTTTGTTTTTTCTACCACTTGCCCAATCATCCTTTGTGACAGGGTCACATGCTTCAACGAATTTTTTTATAGCATTGGGTGATAAACGAGCACACAGTCCAACTGATGGTAAGTGGATGCTATGGCCCATAGACATACACATTTATCCTCAATTAAGAATCAAAATGCAAATGCGTTGTCACTCCTGAGGACTAAGATGGAATGCCTCGATTCCAGTAAAAAGGGTCTCCGGTTCTCTACACTCACCATATGAAACACATCAGCATTACGCTGCTATTTTATGCTGGTATTCTACTGTGGTTGAACCGACTGTGCTACAACTAATATAATATAGATGTAGCGTGGCTCTACCACGTACAAAAAGTTATTTTAGAAGAAACAATCCAAAAAGTTAAAGCCGTGTCACAAAATAAGACAAACACAAAATCACAAAATTACGCACAGTAAGCTCTCGAAACAGAAACAGAAACTTTTTTATTCAATATACATTATGAATAATACTTATTGAAAGTCACTTTTTTCATTTACCACTGGTTCGCAAAAAATACCTCTGTCCTGAGAAGAACCAGCAAGAAACCCAACGGGACTAGTTTTCTTTTATTTTTTTTTAAATAAGACCTTATAATCATGCGTGTTACAATTAACAACACAAAACAAATTAGAAATAGCTTGGTAGCGATCACCCTTCCCAGGGCTTATTATCATCCATAAATTCCTTAATATTAAAATAACCCTTTTTATACAAACTTAGTGTAATAAAATTTTTGAACCATGTGTACTTACGTCAAGTTTTGTATATTTTCTGGCATTTTGATATAAAAGCGTATACATCGCCTCAAAAATGAATTACTGATTCTGTGGAGTTGAGTAACTGGTATCGAAATGGCGGGATATTGAAATTATGTAGTGGTTATTTTAGCACGGCCTTGTATATGAGTTTATTGCCTACAAAAATTTACTTTGACAAAGTGAAAAAAGTAAACTTGTTTTATTCATGATTCATATAATTTAAGGAATTTTGAAAAAAAAATTAAATTAAACATATAATACATTTAAGAAAATAATGATTCGATTTTTAGAATATTTTTACCGATTATTTAATTATTTTGCCGATTATTCGCATAACGACGAATTTTAATCATCCAAACACTACGGTAATATACATAGCGACATGTTATTGAAACGACGTCAAGTAAAAAAAGTTAATACTGGTTATTTTTTAATAATTTGCTTTATTTGAAAAATTTAATTTAAATTAGTGATAAAAAACTATACACGTTGTACTGAAATATAGATAACCTCATAATTCTTCGGATTTACGTAAAAGGTAATTTTAAATCGTGTGAGTACGCTTGTGCAAAGTTATTGCGGAATGATTAATGTGAAACGTCAAAAGATATTTCTTAGATTTGGTTGACTATACCTCCGTTTATTGCCTCCAACTCACACGCGCATCGGTTAAGCAGGGTGTATAACAGAACTATTACTCTCCCACCAATGCAGAAGTAATAAAGTAAAGTAAGTAAAGTAAAGTTACAACCTATATACCTCCCACTGCTGGGCACAGGCCTCCCCCTCATTTCTGAGAGGGTTTTAGGGCAAGGAAGTGTCCGCCGCGCTGCCCTAATGCGTGTTGGCGACCTTCACATGTCTTCGAAATAATTTTTTTTCTTATTCCTCAGACATGAAGGTTTCCTCACGATGTTTTCCTTCACCGCGAAGCACGTGGTAAATCAGCACTTAAAATCGCAATTAACAATTTCATTGGTGCCGGCGGGGATCGAACCCGGGTTACTCGCGTTCTGTTATATTTACAGCGAGCGTTAACCATCTGAGCTACCACGGCAGAAGTAATAAAACCACATGTAATTTGAAAATAAAATTGTACATACATAAACATAAACACTCACGCCTGTCACCCAGAGGGGTAGGCAGAGACTACAGACTTCCATTTGGCACGATCCTGACACACCTCTCTCGCCTCCTTCACATCCATATACCTACGCATACATGCTCGTCGGTTAAGGGTACTCCTAATTTGGCCCGTTTTCAATAAATCGCCAATTTGGTCGATAAGTTTCCGCCTAGGACGTCCATTTCCGACTCTGCCATTCACTTCAGCAACATAAATTTTCTTTGTCACTCTTTCCTCATTCATTCTTTCCACATGTCCAAACCACCGAAGCATTACTTTCTTAATCCTGGTCACAACATCATCTTGCAAACCACACTTTTCTCTTATCACACAAATTCAGATTCAGCCCTAACATACTCCTTAACGACCGCATTTCTACTGCGTTCATTCTACTCTCGTGCTTCGTGTTTGCTTCTGCCACACCCAACTTTCACTACCATACGTTAAAGTAGGAACCAACACAGCATTGTGAATTGCCATACGTGCCTTTTTCGACACATTTTAACTCTTCACAATACAGTGTAGGGCCCATTTACTCTATTTCCTGCATGCACTCGTCGTTCTATATCCATATCACATCTCCCATGCCTGCTAAATACGCAACCCAAATATACAAACTCATCTACTTGCTCGATCAACTCCCCTTCTATTCTAATTTCACATATCGTTTTACTTTCTTCTCTTTCAAAAACCATAACTTTAGTCTTACTTGCGTTCTTTTGCAATACCCCTTTCTTTTAATGATCTGTTCATTAATGTAACCATCATTTGCAACTCGGCCGCCGACGACGGAAGAATAACTGGTGTTACAAAAGGCATTTGACGGTTAACTCACCCATTCTTAATCCGCATTCTTCAACTTTCAAATTTTGCAAGCAACTCCATAAATAGGTTGAACAGCCACGGAGAAGCCACACAGCCTCTTCTGACACCTTTATGGATGCCAAACCAGTCCGAGTAGACCCCGTTGATCCTAACACAAGCACTAGATTCCCTATAAAGAGACTCCAATACCTGTATCAAGCCAGCGCTCAACCCAAATGAGAACAGTGTTTGCCATAGCACATCCCTATCCACTCTGTCATAGGCCTGAAATAAAATTGTATTTAAACTTAATTTAATTTTTTCTTAGTCGTGTTTTCTGTAGTAGTAATTTATATACTCAGACCACCCACGAGACATGAAACCATTACGATTCTGTAACTAAATTAGTCTGTCAAGGTTAGAAGAAAGAAAGGTGTGCGGGCAGCGCGGGAGATGTAACTTAGAGATGTGTCACATCCATATATCGTACGCGTAAATATGAAGGCTAGAAAAACGTAACGTAATTATAAATAAATGAATGATGCGTAAAATACACCGTTAAATACATGTAAAGTTCTTTAAAATATATACATGTATTTTCCATGTCTTTTACAATGTTAATCGCTTACCATAAATCCATTAAGAGCGGAATGTGCCTAAGAAATACACAAACATAATACATACTCTAGAAAACCATGACTTTGCTTCGGCCTCGGCCACGACAGCCAGGTGAAAATATCTACATTAGGTATTTATATATATTAGGTATTATTATAATTTATATATTAGGTAAATATATCTTCAATGGCAAAAGTTTACGTCAAAGTGCTATGGTTTCGGCAGGCAGTAGGGCGACTCCCTGATAAGGAGCAGTTTTTGAAGATCTGAAGGTTTCTCCATACTTACTGTCACCCACCCAGAAAACTCCCCATAAATCATTTTTACTGCCGATGGCTCCTTCTTAGAGTACAATTATGTCAATGAGTGACTCACTCAGTGAGTGAGTGAGTTTGTAAAACTGTAATTTCGATTTCAAATTATAATTACAAATAGATTAATACACAAATATAATAGAATGACTGTTCGTCTACACAAATAATAATAACACAATAAATAGTCGATAAACTTGCATCGATACTTTTTTGGGCATCTCTACTTACACGTGGCGCCTGCAGCCCCTCTGATTGATAGACAGAGACGCAACTATAATACTGCGTGCTTGACAAGGACAGCCTCAGAACTACGACCAGAATACGTTGAACCCTCACTTTTTTAGTATTTTAGGATTATTAAATGCTGCACTTACCGCTGAAACGTGATTTTATCTTTGTTAAAATTATGTTTCCTGCTATCACTACCACACCACTTTACTGCGCAAGTTGATGCATACTAGTTTTCCTGTTTTTTTTATTTAAAAAAATTGTAGCGCTAAGGACGCAGTGCACAAGTCTTTGTCTGGTCACTTCTAACTATATAGGCTCTAGTTGAGCAGACGAAGTAAAGAAATTTGTCGCCTTTCGTTACGTGTCCCTTAGGCTGGGTGGTCTGTGTTTATATACGTATGAATACTGATAATGCATTTAACGGTATCCAAAGGGTTTTTGTAACATGTCGTATAGACATAACATAATGTGCATGACGCGCGCAGGCGCACGGCGCTGCACGTGGCGGCGGCGCACGGGCACGCGGCGATCGTGTCGGCGCTGGCGGGCAGCGGCGCGGAGTGCGGCGCGGCGGACGCGCGCGGCGACACCGCGCTGCACGTGTGCGCGCGCGAGGGCCACGCCGCCGCCGCGCGCGCGTTGCTCGCCGACAGCGACATCGACGCCGCCGCCACCAACCTCAAAGGTACGCACACCGGCTGTATACTGTAGGCGGCTGCGCGCACACGTGATACGTCACAAGAAAACGTGACTTTTTTGTTTTTTAATACCGTACTAAATTTCTCCATTACGTCGATAAAGAAGTTTAATTCAATAATTTAGCTCAATGTTAATAAATTTTCGTCAAAGACAACTTTATATGCTGGTTATATGAATTACGGGGATATACGTAATACATCAAGGCCTTTTTCAATTAATAAAACGTTTCAAAATGGGCCATGTTTATGGACACTACATCAAAAAAAAAAAAAAACCTGTATAATTCGGGAAAAATACAGAATATTTATTTTAATTTATCCTGTCTTGGTAAACAAATGATGTTTATCAATTATTTTTATTGACTTTCAAAATAGTGTTTCACCGATTTAGTTACTCTGTGCTTATAAACAGTGAGAGTAAACCATTAAGCGACCATTGATCATATGCCCCATTTACGCTCAGCCTTGTTGGGCAGGGAAGTGGGCAGGGCAGTATGTAAGTAGGCTACTTGCGCTGCCACTGCCCTTGCCACTGTCACTGCCCGGCGCTCCCTCGATTGTCGGTTTTTCGCGCGGAAGTCAAAGGACGGATAGCGCGAGCGGGCTCGACTGTTTACATTCTCACTTGCCACCGAAGATCGACCGCGAAAGAACGTGCGTTTATTAATCTGCCCCGTGTTTTAATGATACTTAGTAATGATAAAAAAATTAATTTTTAGAACTTTATGAAATTGAGTGGGTAATATGGGATCCTTAGTATAAAAACTATAAATTGCACGTAGTAGCTACTTATACTGAGCAGACATAATGCAGTCACACCATGAAACTCGACGTCAGTCATTGTTGCGAGTTGATAAATAAAGAAGTATGAAGGCTGAATGTAAAAACAACACTCATCGCGTCGTTGCTGCCGCAGTAGTATTTAGAGAAATATTTCCGGCGGCGACAGGAGCAGTAGCAGTGGCTGAGTGTAAATGGGGCAATATAAAGAGAACTGTCATTTGTAACGACAGTGCCGGAGTTTGTCTCAAATACTGCTATACGAATTACGATTAGGCTTTAAATAATATTTAGTTCTTGGACACTATTAATTATTTTTATACTTAGCCAATAAAGAAAACATTCTAAATAACCCAGGTTTACGAATACACAAGGGCAGGTCATAGTAAGAGTACCAACACTCAATCGCCATCTTTACTTGCTCCATATTAAGTATATTTTCGCTGCTGCTCATAAGGTAGGCCTTAGGTCTTTTGTTTGTTATCTCACATTTACGAGGGTGACACTGGAAGTTCTTAGAAAATCATAAACTGAACAAACTAGCAAGTTATTAGTTTTATCATATCTTTTCAAAATTGTGTCCATTTACATCAATAAATCCCTGCATCCGATGGAACCACTGAGAAGAGCACTTTGCCCACTCGTCCTTAGGGATCTCTTCGACGGAATTTTGAAACGCAGCCACTGCTTCCTCGGCGTCCATAAAATATTTTCCTCGAAGTTTTTCTTTTATTATCGGAAATAAACAAAAATAGCAAGGTGCAAGGTTGGGGCTATAGGGCGGGCGGGGACCTATTAATTCCACTTTTAGTGTCGCCAAATAGTCGATTGTTAGCTTGGCGGTGTCACAAGGCCAGGAGGATCCTACTACGAGGTCGTTTCTCCCGAACTTTTTCAAAACAAGTGGCAAAGAATTGTTAGTGTACCACTCTGCAGTAACTGCTTTTCGATCCTCTAAAACAATTGTTGCGTAAAATGACCTGTCCCTCTGAAGAACGAGGCCACCATCTTTTTTCCCACGCTTCGACGTCTCTTCACTTTAGTTGGCCTCGGAAGGGAACACCCAGACAGCAGACTGTCTCTTAGTTTCAGGATCGTAACAATAAATCCAGCTTTCGTCACCCATAAATATGTCGAACACAGCATTTGTGTCACCTCCGTTAAATCTTTGAACCATTTCACAACACCAATCAACACGACGGAGTTTTTGAGTCTCTGTCAAATTATGAGGTATCTATATCCACCGGGCACAAAGCTTCCTGACCGCTAAATGTTCATGGAGGATTTTGTGCACTTGACTCATACCGAAGCCTAAGCTCGTCCCAATCTGCTGATAAGTCACTCTTTTGTCAGTCTCTATCATACGCCGCACAACACTGATGTTATTTTCAGTCGTCGCCGTAGAAGGCCTTCACCTTACGCAGATCATCGGTGAGATTAGTGAGACCACATTTAAATTCATTAAACCAGTTGTAAACACTGGTACGAGATGGGGCTTCATCGTGAAAGGCCAATCGAAGTCTATCATAACTTTCTTGTTGACTTAAATGACATCGAAAGTCATAAAAAATCATTGTACAAAAGTTTTCTCGCATTAAATTCATGCTGATGTGACACAGATAATTTTCAATTTACCTCCAAATCGTAAACAAATGACAAATTAATAAAATGCATACACAATGGGTGCGTTTGGCAGAAAAAAGCGCTAGCAAGCGCTTATAAGCGCTGAAATAGTTTTCTGCCAGGACACGATTGATACTTCAGTAGCGCTGACACAATCCGCCATTTTGCTTATTTAATTTGTTTGTTTTGAAGTAAAGTTTATAAGTTGTTTTGTGCAATATTAGTTTTAAGTAATATAATGACATGAATAAACATATACATGTTATTAAAAATTCATGATTGGTAAGTTTTTAATATGAATACTTTACAAACATATATTTAAATTAGGTTAGGTTCTCCGGTTAAAACTAACATCGTGTCCTGAAGGAAAATAGCTACTTTTTTTTATTATGTGCGAGCAGCTATGCAGGCCTAGGTAAAGAGACCAGTATCACTGCGACCTAGAAGATCTATTGTGATCGCTGCTATGGCTATAGTTCACTGCTAAGCCCTATGTCTTCAATGAATCGAAGGAGTTGCTTAGCCGTGAGCAATTTCACTTCTTCTGGGCGGAGCGAAAATAGCTATTTACGATTTGACAGCGCTTACCGCTTACGATCGCCATTTTGCTTACAAGCGCTTGCTAGCGCTTTTTTCTGCCAAACATACCCAATAATATCTGGGAAGCAGAGAGTTCCATTTTCAAAATTTTAACTTATTTTTTTTATTATATCGTTTACAAGTGGCCAGTTCTAAAAACTTTCAGTGTCGCCCTCGTAAATAACGACAAAGCGACGTAATACCTCCGGGAGTCAACCTTCAACATCCACAGAAGTAAACATGTCAAACGTCACTAATCAATAAAAATGACACCGCCATGACGGGTTTTTGTTGTGTGTTGCAATTTCAACAGTAATTTCTTGTGCTTTGTCAGCATATAAAGCCATTATAAAATAATTGGACAGTTGCCCAGGCTCCATACATTTATTTCATTCTCATTTATTTGTTATTTCACTAATTTTATTTTATATTATCCCATACTTTAATATTAACTGAATATCGGTAAACCAGATCACGTTCAGGCAGTGCAACACTGCCGTAACACTACTGTGATTGTTTGAACGCGGCGATTTTTCCGAACCGATACGATTTAGGGATATTCAAGAAAAGAGCTTATTCCTTTCTTAAAGGCCGGCAACGCACCTGCAAATTCCATCAGGTCAGCCGCATGCTAGTTTGCCCCCTCTTGTAAGAAAAAAACGAGGCATTTGATTTTAGTCCTTAGGGATGACAGCTCTCACGAAGAATAAAAATTCAGATAATTTTTATTTTAAGAATAGATGTAGATGTACTTATTTGTCACCCTTATTCTACAAAAAACTTCGTTTCTTGTTCGGTTTACCTCCTACATTATCACCTATCAAATCCTTACCTAACTATGAGTCATCATACTAAACCAACAAGTATATTAAGTAGCACTAGGTAGCAGGACTGCTTTTCTGCCTACGAACGAGTCCGCACTTTTAATTTAAAAAAAATTAAGTTAAACTTCGTTTATTGTCCTTTGTTCTGTTTATCATTACTGTCACCGTAAATCAAAAATCCACTGCTGAACATAGGCCTCCACCAAAGATTGCTTCGTAGGGGGATGTTTGCCATTTTTTAAAATTAATTGATAGAATTAGACGTTACTTTGCGGAAATCCATTAAAATAAAGATATTTATTTTAATGGAATTCCGCATAATAGTTATCTTGCAACCATCCGCTCAATTATATAAAATGATGTGTCCTACCTAGTTTGAAGAGCATCTCTCGCCCTCCCTCAATTGCGTGCACTAATCCCGTCACCACCACAGTTTTTTAAACTTTTAGTTAAGAAAGATGCTACTACCAATCTCTGGTTTTGTTACCTTCTGTTGCCTCTCACGACGATACCCACTGATGATATTTTTTTATAGGATAGGGTGAGAGTCCACCTGATGGTAAGTGGTTGCTGTGGCCCATAGACAACATCTATCCTCGATTACGAATCAAAATGCAGATGCGTTGTCACCCGTGAGGACTAAGATGGAATGCCGCGTTTCTAGAAAAAAGGGTCTCCGGTTCTCCACTCACCATACGAAACACAGCACCATTAAGCTACTATTTTACTCTGATATTTAGTGAGAGCGTGGCCCTTCCCCGGTCGAGCCGACCCATTCGTGCTACAACTATACTACTAATATAACTGCAGCATGGCTCTACCACGTATAAGATGGCGTAGTGGAGATAATCTCTAAATATACATATTAAATTTTGTTAACTTAGCACTGTTAAGCGCTAAGTTAACAAAATTTATATATATAATATAAATACTCATCTATCAGTACATCGATTATCATATCAGAGCAATTTTATGACATCATCTATCTTCAAGTGTGGGAATAACACCCTCAAAGTTTATATGTAACCGGTAATACCTTTTCCCTCTCCTCATTACACAGTTCATTAAAACATATCCCATCAAACACATAAAAGTTGTAATGAACGTTGACAAAACATTCAAATTTTAGTGAATTGTAATATTTCAATATAATTTTTATATTAAAAAAAATATTTGTTCCCAGGTCGTAATCCTCTACATGAATTGTGCTGGTGCAAAAAGGACAACGCGGCCACTATTTGCGAGATATTTTTAGAATTTATGCCCGACTACCCAATCAACAAAACGGATTTGCAGGTAACGATAAATACAGTGTATTTAAAAATATGTGATTAGTTTTAACACTAAAAATAATTATTTTATATTGCTTACAATGGCGATGGGTAGTTTTGCTAACCATTGACCTTATAATTGTATCATATTTATACAAACCTAAGATCCTAATGCTCGGCTTCGCACGTGTGATTTCTGCAGCACCTCAGTTGAATCTTAACCATCTAGGGACTCATTCAAACACACAAAAAATTTCATGAAAATTACTCATTTAGCAACTACAATTCAAAAAAACATAACAACAAAAATAAGTATTTAACAATGTCTCCGCCAAACACATACTAAAATTTAAATGATGTAACCTACGTAACCTTGTCACTGGCAGAATAATAAATGAAAAATATAAAACCTGATTGGCGTATTTGTACTTTCGTACAGGGAATCCCCGACGGGAAACATCTCGCAACAATATTATGATATGTTATCGGGTGATTCCCCTGTTAACCCGTCGGGGAAATACCTTAAGAGTATTGTATTGAAGTATTCCGAGCGGGGAAGTCCCTTCTAAACTTACGACGACTTAACTTACGACAATTATTAGGGCTGTACCTGTATAGTACGTACCCTACCTACGAATGTAAGGTACGTACGTACCTTTACATACGTAGGTACATACCTAGTTGTTTTCGGTAGTTATGTAATAAATGCTGTTAATATAATCTGGACAAGGTTATTGTCAAGGCGCAACGGACTACGGAATGCAAACTAGACCTGTCTGTGGCAATCCCGAGATTAGCCAACTACCCGGGATTATATTCTCTAGTTGCAGCGCACTGCCACCCCGCTGTAGTTTGTACTGCCTCGTTGGTCTAGTGGTTGTATTAAGAGGTAGTGCGACTGTTGTTCATGAGGTTCCGGGTTCGCACCCAGGCTTAGGCCAAAAAATATCAGGTATTGAGTTTTTCCATCAAGAAACTCTCAGTAGCTGTCTGGAGTCAAAAAGTTAGCGGTGTCTCACCCCTGTGCCTCGCAAAGCATGTAAAGCCGTTGGTCCTGCGCCTGATCACTACGGTTATGTCGCCTTACCGTCCCATCGGACTACGAGAGTAAGGTAATAGAGAGTGCGTCTGTGCTTGCCCTAAGAAATTCGGTCAAGAGGACATTCACATTACAGTTTTGCGGTATTGTTACGTCATTGATACCGCCTCGCCACACAAGGCAGGTTTTTGCCATATTCGATTAGGTTGTTGTCGGTACCTGTCTAACGGCGTGGGTATTTTTATCGGAATGTTCATTTAAATCTATTCATTAGGAGCAGATACACCATTATATAAAAATTTACTCCTCAAATTTGAAAGTGAAATTATTGGTAAACTCAATGCTGCATTTTCTAGTGTAGTTTATTAATCAATACATATAAAAGTTTTAAAAAGGACTCAGGAGCGAGATATCGGTGACTAGTCTAGATTCTATACCATGAATTTTTATATGTAGGACACCCTTAGGGCCTCACTTTTATGCTAAATATTATTTATTAAGGTTAGTTATTTCAATATGATTGTAACAGTCGTCAAACTAGTTTTTCATATTTATTAGGGTAATACTCCACTGCTACTCGCCTATATGAATGGACAAGCCGCCATGTGTAAGGTGCTCGTACGAGCTGGTGCGTGTCTAGCACAAGAAAATAAAGATGGAATCTCAATATTTAATTATCAGGTACATTTTCAACTTATTTAACGTATGAATTTGGTTAAAATTATTGAAGTTATGTTTCTAAAATACTAAATACTTCGTAATTATGATCATTACAGTCATGACAAGTACACTGCTGAACACATGTCTCCCCAAAAGAAAAGTGTAGCTTTTCGCAAACACTGTCTAAATAAATCTCTCTAAATCTAAATCCATCGAGTTTCTGCATTTTTAGCTGGTAATCATTACATTTAGTGGAGGCCGCTTACTGGTACAAGGCTGCTATTTTACGCTGGTATTCTGTGAAAAGGTTTTTAAGAATTTGGATATTTTATAAATTTATAAAAAATATGGTCTAAATGGTTTAATGTTGTTGTCTTTTACTTTAAACCCTTCATTTTATTACTTTATGACTTAGTGATTATAGCATTATCAGCAGATATCAGTCTTGGGTTAAAATCAGCGTTGTGGGAAAAAATTGGTCCACCAATCCAGCTACAAAGTGTGACCAATCCTCCCTGTATTAGCTGTAATAATAAAATATACATAATAAGGCAAATTCCTGTCCAGCATTGAACTATTTACACACTGATGAAGAAAAGGTAGGTTTCAGCTAGCATATCACATTAAATTTTATCTACCAACAGGTGGCTACGAAGCAACTTCTGCATCGACTATTAGACGCCCTGCCGTCAGAAGCACCTTGGGCGGAAAGTGACCTATGCCAAGAATGTGGCACCAAGTTTACTCTTACCATGAGAAAACATCATTGGTATAAAGTTTACTCAATATTCTAAAACTCCATCCTATTTGTTTGTTATTTTAGTTATAAACAAATTACCGCCTCGTTGGTCTAGTGGTTGTAGTAGTACGACTGCTGATCATGCAGGTCCTGGGTTCGAATCCCGGGTCGGGCCAAAAAAAACTAGTTATTGAGTTTTTCCATCAAGAAATTCTCAGTAGTTGCCCAGAGCCCGAAGGAAATTGGCGGTGTCTCACCCCCGTGCCTCGGAAAGCACGTAAAGCCGTTGATCCTGCGCCTGATCTCCCTCCGGTCGTGTCGGTTTACCGTCCCATCGGATTAGGAGAGTGAGGGAATAGAGAGTGCACCTGTGCTTGTGCATACACTTGGGCACTATAATACTGTTCTGCGCCGATGGCTGGCCTCCGTTAAGGCAGGCCGCCGTGGCCGAAATTCGGTCTGGAGGACATTATTATTATTATTATTATTATTATTGTGTAGCTACCAATTATAAATTGAGTTTTACAACAAATTAAAATTACAATCAAATAGGATACAATTATAATTTTTTTTTGTAATTTTAATTATAAACAAATAGGTTACAATTATTAAAGTAATTTTATTTTGTCATTCTTCCAGCCGTCACTGCGGTCGCATGCTATGCCACAAATGCTCAAACCAAGACGTGCCCATACTAAAATTTGGCCTCAACAAACCACAACGAGTGTGCGAGATATGTTTCAACGTATTACAAGTTGGGGCCAGTTAGTGCAGTGTCAGCGAGATTACTTACCAGTGCTACGATAGTGATACGATAACTTTGTATTTTGGAATTTTTAGAGCAATACACACCTAGACTGGACTGAAGTATTTAAGTTAAAATAAATATCGAAATAAAATCGAGCAATGAAAAAGTTATAACTAATTAAAGAATGCAGATTTAATTTATAAAACTAGTATATGGTACGTCAGTGTAATATGGTCACCTTAAGATTTGCCGTCCTATAAAACCAAAACTATGATGAAGACAGATACAGAAACACAAAGTCGTGCGTGTATTATAACTAATATATTAATAAAAAACAGCAAACAAGCATTGGCATTAATACACATCGAAAATTGAATTTAAAAAGAAATAACTACATTACACAATACTAAAATTGACTAAAATATTTACTATAATGTCTACTGTCAAAATGGCGTCGATAAATCAACACCCTTTTGATCCTTTATTGTTTGATGGACTGATGAAGAGTCTTCGTATCAAAAAGTCATTTATGCAAACAAGGGTGTAGTTTTTGTGTTAAAAGAAGTCATCATATTACCCTCACGTACTATATTGATAGTTATTATAACTTGATTGAATTTTTATATAATCAGAATAAAAATGAAAATTATATTATTATATTTGTATGTAATGTTATGGTATATTCTAATCTCCTGAATACAGCTTCAACAATTTTTTAAATTCCACAGACTAAGGATTCTTTCAGTCCATCATATTTTTTGTAAAATTTATAACTGTGTAAGGTACTAAAAGATTGGTAATAGTGTGGGGTAAATTCGTCGAAGCTTATATGCTTTAGTAGTTGGAAAGGTGGGTAAAATTCGACGAAATTATTTTTCCATCCCATAAGTTCAGAAATACTTCATATAATAAAAGTACTGTCTCGGTGTGTAAATATTTTAGAGAACGCTTTTTTAAGTTTTGATGTGTGCTTTCATATATTTTTAATATTGTTGACTTTCCCCGTCAGTCAGTAAGTCATGATGAGCACATGTAAATTATTTATAAGTTATATTATTCCATTATGTATAGGTTCCTTCTTAATTATTGGTTTAATTTTACGACTTTAGTCATCACAAATAATATAAATGTTAAAACTTAGGTTTCTCTGTAACCTAAAACATTTTCTTAAGTTCTTAAAAAGCCAAAGCAAACAAAATATGCTTTTAGTTATTTTTTTACTTATAATTTTAATTGTTATATTGATGATGTTTGAAGTTTTAAAGTATTTACTAGAAATAATCAATGGAACAAAATATGTTTATTATAATATATCTATTTTATCATGCTAGTTGTGCAGAGTTGTTTTTGCCAGATCTTTCCCTGATAATATTAAAATAAGTTTATTATTAAAAAAAATCTAAAATGTTTATTATGATTAGAGACCAAAATGTTTGTGTTAAATTTTGTTGAAGCCTCTGACGCAATATATCGCAAAATACAGAAAAAACCAGAAGCTGCGAACGCGCATATAACTGAAGCAACGAAAACTACGTTTAAATAACGGAATCTATAATGGACAGTTTAAGACCAATTTTTTACGTTTCTTACTATCTTTTGTAGATAAACTTTCATATTAATGCAATTGAGGTTGCAAGTGATTAAAGAACTTATTGGTAATAAGTTCATTTATTGAAAACTACACTATTTTAAAACTTAGAAATATACTTAAAAAAACAAAACCATTTAAAAACACCAGTGTTGGACAGGGTCGGTTCCAGTTTTGGACATCCAATGTTGGAACAACCTCCAGTCATGAACATTTAGTGATGGACACTGAACATTTATGCAACGAAGAAAATAAAACAAGTAATTTATATTAATCAGTCTTTCATACTTTTTTTGAGTACAAAACTATTAGTTTTTATATTAGAAATATAAAAGCAAGTAAAATAATAAACTAAAAGTAAATATTTTTTCATTTCTTTAATTGTATAGAAGCCCCGCTTATTCAGGAGCAAAGGGTCATTAATTTTCTCTATAACATCTTTTGCCTTGTACCATATTTTATCTGGCTTATCTGGCCATCTGAAAGAGTGTCCTGCACATAATACTCTCATTCTGTTTTTTCTATTCTACCCGGAAAATATTCTCCCTCATATATTACAATAACATAGGAGCCATTGGTAACACCTATAGATTTCTTTGTACACCACGTTTTTGCACTGTTCCTGTGAATGAACAAAATGTCTCACGTACTGTCAAACGAAAAACATGGCTTCGGTAGGGTCTATCACTCGTGGAGAACATTGCCAGTTATAATAAATATTCATAGTTTGGCTATTTTTGATAGATAAAGAATGAAATGTCCATCACGGGTGCACTGTCCGTTACCTTAGTGTACTTTCAAGTTCAGGCGAATAGTCACTCTGTGAACATCGTATGGTGTGACGTATTTTGGAAGTGTCTAATTTAATTATGCCATCATGTGCCATTCCTGTCCGTAATAAAGCTGTTGGCTCCAAAAGAAATAGGATGGGATCACATTTCATGTGTAAGTAGCGCGTTCAGATGTAGTTTTATTTATGAATTGAATTATTTGTTCTGTTCGTGATCGTATTACAGAATGATGAAGCCGTTTTCTTAGTGTTGCCTGTATAACAGTTTTGTTTTTCCCTACTTTGAATTTTAAGAGCCATTTCATTTGCGATATTGTTCTTATGTTGGCATTAATATTTTTCCCTAATTTTAATTACTTATAGCGTTAGTAGTTATAGTATCCTACGGAGCTTTAATATAAAATATACGTGTAGGTAATACTTTGATTAATTAGTATGATTTTTTTTAAATTAGTGTAAGTGAAGTTTTTCCAGAAAAATAATATATGGACATTTCCATCACTAAAAACTTTTTATGGATTACGAAATAAAATACAGTTTATTTTTGCAATTAATTACATAGAAATATGAAAAGAGATGGCACAAAAATAATACAAAGAGCACGGCTGAAAGAGTTTTGGAAACCGTCAAAGCGAACAATAATTTCGAAGCGTTGCATTTTGAGGAGAAATATTTTTATGATAAGAGCGAGGTTTGAGAAGACTTCAGAAAGGTGTTTTTCATTATTTATCTAAAAGTAAATTTTTGATAATTAGTATCAAATTCTGAGACAATATTTAAAAGCTGTCTTAAAAATGTACCTTATTGAACCAGTGTTTTATTTAAAGTACTTACTTTTATTTCTTGATATTATTATTTATATAAAATTAATATGTTTAGGAATGGATAATAATGATTTTATCATTATTATCTTACCTCTAATGTTATCACCGTTTACCCTAAAAAGTACTGTATAAACTTCCTTAGTTAGCAATATTACTTGGGTGGGAAGTGGGACGGGCATGGGATGTTTGTTTTGTTTTTGGACACAGTGTGCGGCATGTAACTACAGCTGAACATAGCATCTGGTTTTTTCTGTATTCTGAGGCATAATATTCCTTCAGGAATTTAAAACTTTCTACATGTGCATTTTTGTCATGAACTAATTTAGATTATTTTAAAATTTATAATAATAACATTTAATTGTATCTTGTCGTATATTTTTAAATTGTGATTTACATTCCGAAATAGGTATGTCATTCATTTGTTATATAATTAAAATGTTAATAAAAGAAATGTATTTATAATTTAATTACTTAATTGCAATATTAAATATTGATTATTATAAGATTTATTTTATACACCTATTCCCACGCTCTATTGAATATAAAATAAAAGTCATATGTACTTGAAATTAAATATTTTATTTACAAAAACAACAGCTACAATTATTTGATTTTTAAAAATTAAAAACAAAACTATAGCCACTGCCCTTACCTACAAAGGCGTCTCACATTGAAAAAGTGGGTAATGCAGTGATGTGCAACATAAATTACTTTAACCTCTTAAAAAGGTCTTTGTTGACACACTTGTCCAGTACATGAATGTAATCAATCAACTCCTCCTCGCATGTTTCGGTTGTTTTGGAACGGGAGGTTACACGGTTATTGCATTCTTGGTATTTTGACCAAAGATTCTGGGCATCAGGCTTCTGTGAGCAGACTTCCTGTAAGAAGTAAAAAAACATTAATAATTTAATCGTAAACAAAATAACAATGATTTTTAATACATATACTATATATTTATATTATATATACATAATTATATTATATATACTATATAATTACTACTGTTTACCAACACATCAATAAAAAACAATGCAACTGAGCTACAGAAAAAAAAAGAGAAAAGGAAACCTTATTAAATATTTCTTGTAAATTAAAAACTGTCTTGAAATCCTACAAGAAAAGAAGAAATTAAGTTATAAAATATGTTATAAGCACTAAGTAATAATGTGCAAACTAATAATTATATTTTTACACAAATATTGGCTCCAGCTGTAATCCCAAGATCCACAAACAACACACTATCATCTTAATTAAAACCCTTCACAAGACCACTGCTGAACATAGCCATCCATTTTAACAGTGGTAGAGCCACGCGGCAGCTTTGCTGTTGCACGTATGGGCCGGCTTAAACCGGGGTGGTACCACGACCTCACAATACCGGCGTGAAGTGGAAGCTCTGCTTCCGCGTTTCGTCTGGTGAGTGCAGGTGGCCGGAGGCCCAAATCCCCCCCCCCCCATCAACATGGTAGCGGAATTAAACGATGATAGACTGCCCCAGGAGGGTACCAGCGCCCCTGGAAAATCCCTCGCTGAGCATCCACCCATCAACACCCACTACACGGTGTTGATGGGAGACTTCAACGCAAAACTAGGCACAAGAGAAAACGGTGAGCTGAAGTTAGGGAAATTTGGAATAGGGCAACGGAACCGAAGGGGCCAGCAGCTGACCGACTTTATGGAGAAAGAGGGACTCTTTATGATGAACTCTTTCTTCCAGAAGCGGCCCCACAGGAAGTGGACCTGGTCGAGCCCCGACGGTTCGACAAAAAATGAGATTGACTTCATTATGACGACCAGACGCCAACTGTTCAGTGATGTCTCAGTGATCGCAAGGGTGAAAACTGGCAGCGATCACCGAATGGTTAGAGGCACACTGAACCTAAACGTTAAGTTGGAGAGGTCTCGTCTAATGAAGTCAACGCTCCGTCCCCCTCGTGCTCTAATCCAGAATCCCGAAAACTTTCAGCTCGAGTTACACAACCGCTTTCAGTGCCTACAAGATTGCAATGCAGTGGACGATATGAATGACAAGCTCGTGGAAACTGTCCATGCGGTCGGAGCTAAGTTCTGCAAGACCCGCCGCAGAAGAACACAAAAACTCTCCGATCACACTCTTAATCTCATGGCTGTTAGACGGGAGATGAGGCTGCAATCGTCAACAGATTTGACAGCATACAGGCAACTGAACAGACAGATCTCCAAATGTATGCGGCGAGACTTACGCAACTTTAATACTTCTCGTATTAAAGAAGCGATCGAGCGGAACCAGGGCTCCAAAGTCTTTGCCAGAGATCTGTCTGCCAGAAAGAGCCAACTGTCAAAGCTGAAGACTGAGTGTGGCAACATCGTTTCCGGGACACCTGAGATTCTGAGTGAGATTGAGAGGTTCCATGGGCAGCTGTACACATCATCGTTGAAGCCACACTCAAGTGTGAGTAACGATCCAAGAGCAAGTCTTATCCGACACTATTCCGATGATATCCCGGACGTCAGTCTGAGCGAGATTAGAATGGCTCTCCAACACCTTAAAAACGGCAAGGCCCCGGGCGAGGATGGAATTACAGCGGAGCTTCTGAAAGCGGGTGGAACACCGGTACTTGAAGTCCTTCAGAAGCTCTTCAATTCCGTCCTCCATGGTGGCACTACTCCAGAGGCGTGGAGCAGAAGTGCGGTGGTCTTGTTCTTTAAGAAAGGCGACAACGCTCTCTTGAAGAACTACAGACAGATTTCCCTTCTGAGCCGCGTCTACGTGCTGTTTTCGAGAGTCATTACGAATCGTCTCGCACGCAGACTCGACGACTTCCAGCCTCCCGAACAAGCCGGTTTCCGAAAAGGCTTCAGTACCATAGACCACATACATACCCTGCGGCAGATTGTACAGAAGACTGAAGAGTACAATTTGCCACTTTGCCTGGCGTATGTGGACTATGAGAAAGCCTTTGATTCCGTCGAAATTTGGGCGGTGCTGCAGTCCCTTCAGCGGTGCCAAGTTGACTGTCGGTATATCGAAGTGCTGAAGTGTTTGTACAGTAGGGCTACGATGGCTATCCGAGTACAGAACCAGAGCTCGAAACCTATCCAACTGCAGAGAGGTGTAAGACAGGGTGACGTTATATCCCCGAAACTCTTCACCGCTGCATTGGAAGACGTTTTCAAGCTACTAGACTGGAAAGGATACGGTATTAACATCAATGGCGAGTACATCACTCACTTTCGATTTGCCGACGATATAGTCCTTATGGCAGAATCGCTGGAGGACCTTAGCACTATGCTCAATGACCTCAATGGTGTCTCCCAACGGATAGGTCTTAAGATGAACATAGACAAAACAAAGATTATGTTCAATGTCCATGTCACACCTATGCCGGTAGTTGTGGGGAGCACTATGCTCGAAGTTGTTGACGAGTACGTTTACCTGGGACAAATAGTCCGACTAGGTAAGTCCAACTTCGACCGAGAGGTCAATCGACGGATTCAACTCGGCTGGGCAGCGTTCGGGAAATTACGACACATCTTCTCGTCAGGTATACCTCAATCTCTGAAAACTAAAGTGTATAACCAGTGCGTGTTGCCAGTGATGACTTACGGATCAGAGACGTGGTCCTTCACTGCTGGCCGTATGAGGACGCTCAAGGTCGCTCAGCGAGCTATGGAGAGGGCTATGCTCGGAGTTTCTCTGCGTGATAGACTCAGAAATGAGGATATCCGCAGTAGAACCAGAGTGACCGACATAGCCCAACGGATTAGTAAGCTGAAGTGGCAATGGGCCGGCCATATAGCTCGAAGAACCGATAACCGATGGGGAAGAAAGGTTCTCGAGTGGCAGCCTCGTACCGGTAGGCGTAGTGTAGGGCGACCCCCCACTAGATGGAGTGACGACCTGGTAAGATATGCAGGAAGTCGATGGATGCAGGTGGCTCAGGACCGTGCTTTGTGGCATTACTTGGGGGAGGCCTATGTTCAGCAGTGGACTTGTGAAGGGCTGTAATGATGAATGATGAGCATCCACGACCATGTTTCTCCACTCCTGAGCGTGGGTGCTCAGGCTGCCCCGCATATTCTTGGTGGGGGGGGGGGGGCAAAATTCCGCTCAAGACTACAACTGCTCGGGGCAAACGGAGCAACAAGACCAAGGCGACCCCTGCCACGCTGTCCGTGAATTTCTGCAATATCAGGGGACTTCACTCTAACCTAAACGCCGTCCACTACCATCTCGAGACGGCGAGGCCGGCTCTGCTCTTTCTGACCGAGACGCAGGTGTCCTCTCCGGCTGATGTCTCGTATCTCTCCTACCCGGGGTACAAACTGGAACACTCCTTTGTGACTCGGGCTGGAGTTTGCGTTTACGTCAGAGAGGACATCTGTTCTCGACGCCTCGGCAGTCTTGAAGGCGGAACAATCTTTCTCACCCAAGGTTCGGACATGTCCATCCTTTGGCTCCGCGTAGACAGCGACGACCATCCGCGCATCTACGGGTGCCTCTATAGGCCCCATAGCGCTAATGCCGAAACAGACCGACTCTTCGACCACGTCCAAATGGCTACAGATTCGTTGCTACAGCAGATTCCCTCCGCAGAGATCGTGATCCTCGGCGACTTTAACGCCCATCACGCCGAATGGCTTGGTTCACGTTTAACCGATCATGCGGGGAGATCTGTTCATTTTTTTGCCTTGGCATATGGTCTGACACAACTGGTTACTTCGCCTACGCGGATTCCAAATGTGGAGGATCATGCACCTTTCCTGTTGGACCTTCTACTGACCTCTCACCCGGACGGATATCAGATTTCCGTCGACGCCCCTTTACGCTCCTCGGACCATTGTCTTGTCCGGAGTGTGATGCCACTCACGCTGAAATCGCAGTTGCATTCTGCAAGCTGCCGCCGTGTTTGGCACTATAGGTCAGCCGATTGGGATGGGATGCAGTCTTTCTTTGCATCCTACCCTTGGGGCGGGTTTGCTTCTCGCCAGACGATCCCAACGTTGTTGCGGATTCTGTCGCTGATGTGGTACCTCAGGGTATAGAACTTTTTATTCCATATATTATTAAATCTCAGCCGTGGTTTGGTTGCTCCTGTAAGATAGCATCATGCTATAAGCAGGAGTGCTACCAAGCCTGGGCTGACGCATCAACGTCCCGGGATGTAAACACCAGCGCTCTAAAAAAGAAGTATAATTCCGCCTCTAGGTTCTTCAAAAGAGTCATTGCCAAGGCAAAGTCAGAGCAGGCAGAATTGGCGAGAAACTAGTTCGCCTTCCTTCTGGAACCCGTGCATTCTGGTCTCTCGCCAAGGCTGTCCAGGAGAATTTCTGTCAGCCATCTCTTCCATCTCTGGACAGGGGGACGACTCACTGGCCCATACCGCAAAGGAGAAAGCAGATCTGCTGGGATCTTTCTTTGCTTTCAACTCGACTCTCTATGACGGGGGGAGTACGCCGCCGACAAGGTCGCGGTGTGAGTGCTCCATGCCGGAAGTGCAGTTCACACAGCGCTCGGTTTCGCAAAGCACTCCTCTCCCTGGACATCCACAAGTCGAGTGGGCCTGACGGAATCCCCCCAATTGTGCTGAGGACGTGTGCTCCAGAGTTGGCACCGGTTTTAACGCGCCTTTTCCGGACTCCTACTCCCTAGAAGACGGCTTTCGTCCACCTGATCCCTAAAAAAGGCGACCGCTCAGACCCGTCCAACTACCGGCCTATCGCCATCACCTCCTTGTTCTCCAAAACAATGGAGTCTATTGTTAACTGCCAGCTCATGAGGTACCTTGAGGATCACCAGCTGATTAGTGATCGCCAATACGGTTTTCGCCGTGGGCGGTCAGTTGGTGATCTTCTGTTCTACCTAACTCACAGATGGGCGAAGGCAGTAGAGTCCAAGGGGGAGGCATTGGCCGTTAGTTTGGACATTGCGAAGGCCTTCGATCGGGTTTGGCACAAAGCGCTTCTTTTGAAGCTCCCTTCCTTCTCGAGAAATTGTGCGATTGGATCACCAGCTTTCTTGCAGATCGGAGCATCAAGGTCGTTGTTGACGGTGCAAGCTCCGATTACAAGCCTATTTATGCTGGTGTTCCACAAGGCTGCGTGCTATCGCCAACGCTGTTTCTTCTGCATATCAATGATATGTTGCAAACCCGTAACATTCATTGCTATGCAGATGACGGCACTGGTGATGCTCTATACACTGGCCGTGCCAATATTTCTCGGGAAAACGTCTCCGAGTACCGGGACAAACTTGTGTCTGAAGTAGAGTCTTTGTTGAACAGTCTCGGATTGGGGGCGCCTAAATCTAGTCCAGTTTAACCCCCAGAAGACAAGTTTGCGCGTTAACCGTTAAAAAGAACCCCTTTGTCGTATCTCCTCAGTTTCAAGGCACTCCCCTTGTTGCCTTAGCCAGTATCGGAATCCTCGGCGTCGAAATATCGAGTGGCGTGCAGTTTCGTGGTCACTTGGAAGAGAAGGCCAAATTGGCCTCTAAAAGGCTTGGTGTGCTCAACAGAGCGGGACAGTATTTCATGCTAGCACACCGCCTGCAACTTTACAAGGCGCAGGTTCGGCCGCACATGGAATACTTTTCCCATCTCTGGGCTAGGGCTCCCCAGTACCAGCTCCTTCCACTTGACCGCATCCAGTGCAGAGCGGCTCGAATCGTCGACGACCGAGTGCTTTCCGATCGGCTCGATTCACTGGCGCTGCGAAGAGATGTTGCATCTTTTTGCATTTTCTTTCGCAAATACCATGGGGAGTGCTCTGAGGAATTTATCGGATTAATCCCAGCCGCCAAATTTCGTGAACGCACTACGCGGCAAACGTCCTGATACCATCCACACCATCTGGATGCTTGGCGGTCCACCACTGTATGTTTCAAACGGAGTTTTCTTCCACGTACCTATCTGTGGAATAGTTTACCACCGGCAATTTTTCCGGACCGATACGACCTGGGGACCTTCAAGAAAAGAGCTTACTCTTTTCTAAAGGGCCGGCAACGCACCTGCAATTCCCCTGGTGTTGCGGTTGATCATGGGCGGCGGTAGTCGCTTAACATCAGGTGAGCCGCATGCTTGTTTGCCCCCTCTTCTATAAAAATAAATTTAAAAAAATCCCCCAAGGAATGCCACAAAGCACAGTCCAGGGCCGTCGTCATCCATCAACTTGTTCTTCTTTGGGGAGTCTACCTACACTTCGCCTAATGGTACGAAACTGCCACTCCAGAACCTATTTTTCCAAATGGATGTCGGTTCTTTGAGCTATATGGCTGGCCTGGCCCATTGCCACTTAAGCTCACTAATCCATTTGGCTATGTCGGTCACTCTGGTTCTTCTGTGGATATTCTCATTTCTAAGTTTATCACACAGATAAACCCCGAGCACAGCCCTCTCCATAGCTTGCTGAGCGACTTTGAGCTTCCTCATATGGCCAGCAGTGAAGGACCACTTCTGAAATCCATAAGTCATCACTGGCAACACACTAATATATCCTTAATGAAACCAAACATTTTATCATTTCTAAACATTAAACCTAATAAAATATGACACAGAACAATAAAAATAATCAAATGTTTTATACCAATGAGGGACTAAGATAAGAACTAACTCAAACAATATAAGCTTACAACTAGGGGACCATGTGGTTTTCAAGAATGCCTCAGCGTAAATTGTATTTAAGGTTTTTAAATAGATATTGTCATCAATAAGTCACCAGAGCCTGCACTCCTCCATTTGTGGATCAAGTATGCATGTTCTTGGTCATGTCTTGCTTACAACCCTTATAAACAGAATAGCAAGGCCATTAATAATGATGTTGATATACTTTTACAACTGGTGAAGATAAATCTTTTAACATTTTAAAGATCGCTCCGTACTAGTTCTTTTCGAACAGTGATCTAGTTTGTTCTATTAGTTCTATTAGGTCATCAGTACCATTAACCTGTTTAAATTGTATCTATCAGTGTGGAATGGTTATCTCAGTCAGTCAATGACTGAATCAGAGGCATTCATTGGCTCTTGTCTACGCTAGTACTTCTTATTAGTTTGTTCTCTTGTCCTTGATTGGCTACTGATTGATTCTCGAGTTACGTTTACGTTTGGTGTCGGCATATTGAGAGTGTAGGTGTACGAAAAGAACTATTAGACCGATTAACCATCAGCATTCAGAAGCATTTCTTTTAGTACAGTGTCAAGATATGTTTCCTAACCATTCATCGTTCGCAAACTACACAAGACTAACTAAGATAACACAGTACTACACAAGATTAAAGTAAACAGCATGGTAGAGATAAATTAGTAGCCTACCAAGAGTTATCATTCCTGAAATGATAATGTGATGAATGAAATAGGAGTTTTATAAGGCCATTGCCCTGCTAAAATAGTAATCTACAAAGCATGGACTATTTAAATGAGAATGTATTAAAAACAACCCCTGCCAGTAATCTTCACAAATATCAAAAATTTGTACAGAGGGATCTAAGAAAAAAAACTATCGATCTGCTGTAATAGGAGTATAAGAGTAATTATTTCATTTATTTTAGTAAAGTTTTCATTCTATAGACTTTTGGACCTTGCCTTATATATATTAAATTTACTAAATCTACATTTGAATGACAAAGATAATAAGTGTTCTGACTATCTCATACATCCTTATCCATAAGATAAATATAACTGGGAGACATTGCATTAAAAAGTCAATGTATGTATTTCCGATATGGCTGTGGACATTGGTATTATTTGTAAAGTTTATATGTCTTTGATTTATTATTGTACATGGTAGAACATTGCTGTTACATATCATGACTGCAGCATTAATGGTTCGCCTCGATCGCGCTTATTACTCTATTGTATTGTATGGTGAGTGACGAGAATCGGAGACCCTTTACAATAGTAACAAACTATTTCCATCTTAGTTCTCAGGGTGAATATGCATCTTCAATACGATACTTAATCTAGGATACATGTAGATACAGACTTTGGATTACTGCATACTCTTACCTACCATCATGTGGATTGTGCTAGATTGTCACCCCTACTCTATCAAAAATAAAAATTGTTGGGTAGATTAACGACTATATTATTATGTGTTTAGTCCACATAACCATTTATAAGTATAAGCTGCAAATAGTTTTATGTACCCTGAGTTGCTGCTGCGGATCAACTAATTCTTCTTCCTCAGCTTCTTCTTCATCAGCTCTTACTACAGGAACCAGTTTTTCAGTCATTTTTCCTGAAATTTTTAGAAACGGTTCGTTTTCAAAAAATAGGTGCTAAAATATTTAATATATCTATTAAATAAGAGTGTTCACAAAATCTTCACCTAAATCGATGATGCAACACCCGACCCGACCGCAATCGCCACAGATAACTTTCAGTACAGAACCACAGATTACCATAGAACACCAGCCACTTACCATAGATACTGAAACCTACATACTAGTCAGTACCATGTGAAAACCCGTAGACAGAAATGAGAGAAACCTATAGACTAATGATTAGCGTGGCCTCGAGTGAGAAAGGACGATAACGTAGTTTTAGGTTATACCATAATCTTTATGAGTTTTAAACATATTTAGATAAAAAATTTAATTATTCTAAGAACTGAACTGAACAAGATTCACCAATCTTAAGCTCACAGAACACTTTTTTTCTCACATAAACCAACTTGTAAACTCCTTAGATCACTACGAACTGTCAAAGTTATTTAGCAAAGTGTAATTTGCTAAACAAAAAAGCCGGCACGGAGAAAGGGACAAACAATCACACTGCTCTGTCTCATTTCTATGCAAGACGTATGCATAAATCTATCTTTTTCGTGTGCGAATGTGAAAGAAGTCGTCAATTTGTCTATAGGTTTCTCTGTCTACGTCAAAACCGGTCCGAGTCGCCAAACCAAAAATTTGACGCCAAGTAGCCTAAATTCGCCTATTTGGCAAACAATTCAAAATATATCCATTTCTTTTGATTTCTGAATCACTATCGTTAAAGAATATTTTTGAATACCTTTATCCAGTTTTCTTTGATATTTCTCTGTGGCAAAAACATACGTTTCATTACACGCATTTTTATTACATATGAGACATATTTAAAGAGAGATTAATTTAGTATACGTAAAAATCGCCCCTTTTTTTTCGAAGTAGCCTAAATTGCGATTAGTCGCCGATCGCAATTTTTAGTCGCCCCTGCACATTTAGAGATAGCCTAAAAGGCGAAACTTCGCCTAACTTGGCACCACTGTTACTTCCTTTCCCCCTGGACCTCGAAAGAGTATAGACGTGTAAATTGCTTTCTGTCTCAATCATAAAATAAATTTAATACTGTTGTTAAAATTAAAATAAATATAATAAGATATCATAAGCGCAAAGAACTGTTCTCATTACAGACTCGTAATAATCGAGTAATCTCAACATATACTGGACGGACCGCACCCCTAGCCGACCGCGTCTAATCTGTCCAAACTAAGCTGATACCTACGCCTAACTTGCGACGCTGTCGCACACTGTGTGATTCATACCATACTTGTGGAACGAGGATAACTATATTTAAACATATGCGTAAGCTCTGCGATAACTTCCTTGTAATCTATACTTGCCTGGTACTTTCCGTAATACTGCTTAACCGCTCGCCGTTGGAGGAGTCTTCATCGGCTTGCCGAACAAACTTACAACATTGCGACCCCGAACCAAATATTCATACTACCCCCGAAAAGGAGTATTATATAAACACCGCTCCAAGGAAAAGAAAACATAGTAATAATACTTCGAACGAATTAAGTATGATTCATGACAAATTCCTATCATTGTTTAAGTCTCTTCCAATAATGAGCAAGATAGTAAATACTCCATAATTCTTCAACGTATGGGAGAGATTAAACAACTGGACGAGGAAATAAGTCATTGAATTAATTTTATGTCTGATAAAATAGATTTGCTTTTTGGAAAAAGTACGCAATCTAGAATGGCAAAACAGTGCTTAATGCAAGCGTATTCAAGAATTAGAAGAGAAATACGAGCGTAAACCTATGCTACGAAAATTGAACTATGCAACGTCGCAAAGGAAACTCATGAAACCAAGGATGATTTATTAAATATACTGATAAAAACAGGAGTCCTGGGTTCAAAACTTCATCAGTTGGACGTAAAAAATAGGGCCCCCGCTACCATATGTGCAAAGTGTACAATGCACACGGGCGCCAACCTTTAAGGGTGCCAAAACCCAGGGTAAAAAATTGCAAAGATTTCAAAAAAAAATTAATTTTAAAATAAAAGTTAAGAAATGAAATAGGATTAGGTATAAATACACACAAAATTTTATTAGTATATCATCCAGTTACTGCCGATCCCTATGCTGTGAGAACATGTCAGGTGGTAGTTTCTTGATTTTCCTGTTCAGACATGAACAATATGCTGTGAGAACATGTCAGGTGGTAGTTTCTTGATTTTCCTGTTCAGACATGAACACTGTGCTGTGAGAACATGTCAGGTGGTAGTTTCTTGATTTTCCTGTTCAGACATGAACAATGCCGGCAGCGCTACAAAAACGATGCATCGCCAGAGGCGTTTTTAAACCGGTTATGGTGGAGCGTCGAGCCTAAGGTTGCCGAAGTCTAATTCCCCGGTCGAACCTTAAAACCTATTACGCGAGCTATTAATTTAAGTGGACTGTATCTACAAAATGTTTCTACATTTATATAAACGGCGACTATAGCATGCGGTACAATGCACTCGCTCTTCCCTAAAACGAACTATTATTTGCCAAATCGATGAAAGGAATCCTGCTTGATTAGGAGAAAAACAAAATTGGAGCAGGTTAAAACACAATTATATCAAGCAGGCAATATTATTAGGAATATTCACTCACCGGGGTGTTTCTTCTATGCTGTTGGGCACTATAGCTGCGACTTCTGGAACTTCTTCTGGGTAGACTCTCTGGAGAGAGGCGGTGCGCGACTATATCTCACACGAGGTGAGGCGGGTTTCTTGGAGCTCGACTGCTTCCAGGCTAAAGCGGTTCTACTAGCGGTGTGGTTCCAACAACGAGCGCGGCGGGAAGAGGGTGCGCGTCGGTCGCGCGTGCCTTTTATACCTTCGGTTGCGATGATTACGTGATATTCTAGAATCATCTTCTTTCCCCTCCCCCCCCACCACCCCGATGTGTCCATAGGAGGGTATGTATATCGTTTTGGAAAGGGATAAGCGATTTGGCAGCCTACCGTCAAAATAAATAAATACGAATGGTTTTCCGCGCAACCAGGTTAGATCACTGGACCGTGCAACAACTGCATAAAAACAAGTAATCCTATTAATTTTTACATTTAAAAATTATTTTTATTTTGTCAAGTGTTGTGTTGTTTAATATTTATTTACTACTTTTTTTTTTCTAAAAAATTATGTGCTGAATACCTGCTGACTGCAATTTCAATGGTTTGATTTTTTACAAAATGGTAAGTGTTACCTACTTTACTTTATACTATCAACATTACCTACTGACCTCTATATATACAGCGTACTTGTATAAATTACATTACCCCCTTATAGGAATCCTATCTGTTTCCTGTTTTTATCTGATAACTTCAAGAGATAATATAGGAAAAAACCTACAACCTCTGCATAAAACATTTTATTCTATCTGACATAATAAAGGCTCTTAAAAGGAGTTTAAAAAGTAATTGGTTTTTTATCCATATCTCGCTTAGTTTTTATGCTATCGATCTTTTTAAAAAAACATCTTGTAGGTTTTAAGGGCTATAAGATTAAATTAGTTTAATACTTTTCTGCCTGTATTTTTCAAAGGATTTAAGCTGAAAAGGCTCGAACAAATTGCTTATTTACTTAAATATTGTAGCGTGCCTAAGTTGACGTCTAGCACTAGCGCCATCTAGTATCGAATTGAAAAACTAAGCTTTCTAGAAGCCCTACACTAGAACTTTCGGCGCTTGGTAGGTTGGCGCGCGTATTTACTGGAATATTCTGGATGTTTCGGTGAATAAGGTGTATTTATAGGCGCTGCAATACGCGGTCGGAGCAGTATTGAATTTGGCGAGACAAGCGAATCTTCGGGGCGAAATAAAGTGAATCAGTGTGATTAATTATTAGTGTCTTTTAAGTAAAGTGAATTAAAGTGTTAATTTTGGTAATTCAATCGGCATTTTTTATTGTCACGAACCTCAAACTCGTAACAATTGGTGCCAGAAGTGGGATAAAATCATGCCGATTTTACCTACGGAGGAAACGGAGGGTGTCCGTACCCGAAGTCAACGCCAGCAGGAGACAGAGCAGAGAAAATTTGGTGGTGCAACGCCGCAGACGTTAGAAGGCCAAGTGCCAGCCACGGAGACTGGCCCGTCGGCAGCTCCTACACATGCAGCACCTGACTTAGGTGCTCTGATGGTGATGCTGCAGGAACAGGCCCGCCGACAGGAGGAACTGGCCCGTTCGTTAAAAGAGCAGCAGGAGGAACAGGCCCGCCGACAGGAAGAGCAGATGCTCCTCGTGAAGGACGTTCACGCTAACTTCGGGAAAGAGATAAGGGAGGTGAAGGATAGGGTTGCTCAACATGACAACCGCCTGTCGGAGGCTGAAACCCAGATCAAGGAATGAACTGGATGGAACTACAGCTGCCGTAGTAGCTACTACACCTTCGCTACGTGGGTTCAAAGTGCCACCGTTCAACGGGGCTTCCTCCTGGTCAGCCTACAAAATCCAGTTCGAGGCTGTTATGAAGGCGAACGGCTGGAATAAAAGTCAGGCCATGACTGCTCTCACACTGTTAAGGCCTGCGCGACCAGGCCTTAACAGTTCTGGAAGCTCTCGGTGAGGAAGTGACTTATGAGCAACTCCTTGAGGCATTAGAGGCGAGATATGGCGACGCTCACCTGGAACACGTCTTTCGTGCGCAGCTTAAAGATCGCGTGCAGTGCATCAACGAAAACCGGTGGTGGAGAAGCTGGTGCGAAAAGCATACCGGGTCTGTACCTGCGCTCATTGAAGGGAACCTGTTGCAGACATTCATCGACGGCATTCGCGACCTGGAAGTCAGAGCTGCTGTGAGGCTCGGGCACCACGAGACGCTTAAGGACGCCTTGGCCCATGCACTGGAGGTGGAAGCCGTGCGGCAGGATCATCGTTCCCATCGCGTCAGGGAGGTTGCAGCAGCTACAGTTCGCGACCGCAACAAAGGATACAGCCCTTGGTGCTATGGCTGTGGGGAAAAGGGCCATCTTCGATCCAGCTGCCCTAAGTAAACCCTAGAAAGGGAAGGTGAACGATCTCAGGAGGGTAGTGCAGCCAACAGCACCGCTCAGCAGCAGCAGGGAAACGAGTAAAAGCCAGAACTGCGGGGCGGGTACTAGCTGATGTTAAAAGAGCCCCAAGGATCAGTCTAATCATCACAGGCG